GAGAAGAGGAAGTATCCCTGCATACCAGAGAAGGGGTACGTGTACCATCCAAGAATTCGACCTGACATAGCTCACGATGATTCACCAGAAACGTATTCGAAGGGTCGAAACTTCTTCAGGGTTAATACGAACCGAGACGACCCTTTACTCAGCATTTGCGTTACTTCTTTGACTTTACGACTCCGAGACCTCACATACTTACATCTCACCCCTCTAAGGCATAAACATTATTACTGTAACAAACGATTATTTAACGATATTAGATCACAGCTTGCCTTCAAGCTATGAGGTAGTTATTCAAAACAATCTCATATTCTAACGAAATTGAGTGCACGTGTAAAATATTATTTCATTTTATTTGTTTCTCGATTCCTAAACTTTAATCTCAGACTAACACAAATTTCCTAATTCATGAAGAATAAAATATGACTAAAAAATAGGAAAAAATAATAATTTAGAAGATTTCAGTATAATTATCATTTTCATTTGCAATCTAATCTCAAAAAAAATATCGTACCCTTTAAATAAAAAGTCCAACCTAACGTCGGTGTTATATCACTGTCTAAAATTTTTCCAACTATCCACACAGATATTTCCATTAAACGTCAACTTTCTTCTGAAACTTATCACGGTACATAATGCTTAAACGCATACCATTTTTATCAAGCAAGTGGAATCACATTCGATATCAACCTAAATACATAAATCGCATTATGCTAATGAATTTATTTATTATGCCAGCACGAGCGATCCGTTATCGATGCTATCTGGGAGAAAAACGATTAAGGGCTATGGCAGTTACTATCATCAAGGACAAGGATAATGGCCAGTCATTTCAGCCATTGGGAACCATTATCAAAGACGGTCATTCTTAGAGTCGATTAGATGAACAGTTATATTCTGCTAGACCCTTGTACGTAACACTAGAGTCCATGGAATTTGCTCTCATTTTGTCCAGCCTCGGGAGTACGATTTGTGGCCGTGCGGCGTTGCGGCCGCACTGGTTACTAACACCGTGTAACTTTATTTCCGGATGTCTCGAATGATTCTCTTGAACTTGTACCTTCTGACTCTGCAGAAAATCCTCCCCACTTGGTTCTTCAGCTTCGGATGCCGTTGCGCAATCGAAGTAATTTTAGTCGAAAAATTCTATGAGTTACGAGTTATCAGTATCAATAGATTCTTTTGCACGGAAAATGAATTTCTAACTTCTGCGAAGTCACTAATATTAGTAAATATTAACTTATCGTAGAGAACCTTAGATCATTAAGAGCCTTAGTCGTTGCAGTACATTACTTTTGTTTTTATCGCTGGTCAGATGATATTACAGTGGCACAGTTTTCATGGTACATGGTCAAGTATTACTGAGATTTTTGTCGCTATTAATGGACGCTTTTTGAACAAGTGTTTTCTATCTCAAGGAAGCACATAAATTCTTCCTGTTTTCGGTGGCTAATGGTTTTTTGATGTTCTGCGAGTAAAAGGTGGGTCAGTTTTTAGAAAGTTCATGGTCGAAGATCGTGGTCTAGCATCACACAATTGTCAAAATCGTGGCTTCCATGTGTAAATCTTGTCCTTTTGCAGGCATATACCGGTATTCGTCCTATTAACTTTGTAATTTCGTCATGGTTCGGATAATACATTAATAATGATTAAATAAGCTTGATTTTGAGTACGTGAATATAATTATACATCACGATATTAATAGTATCATGTTAGTAATTATACGTAATAAATTTCGCAAATTTAAAACAACATACCAATTTCCTGACTGTATATTACTGATAATAACTATGATAATATATCTGCGAATAACACGGAGGAGAAAATTTCATAACTTGCTCCATTTCATAATAAACTGGTAAATCTATTTATCAAGAAGCAAGTATTAGTCACTCATAAAGTTAGGGAACCACTTATGATTCAAAGAAAAATCAAACGGTATAAATGAATTTCCTTTTTTGGTATTTTCTTTTTTGCGCTAACCTGATAATTAATTTCCGCTGTTAAGGCGCACGTTGTACTCGTAGGTGTCGTATCATTTTCCGCAAACAAGTTCGCTCGTTCCAATATTTTAAACTCGTATCTTACAATGAAAGTCTCCTTATCCAGCTCCATTCACTTCTTGTTATTATTTAATAACCACGAAACGTGGGCAGCCACGCTCGTACGCGTAACTCAAGTAGTCGCTTGAGACGCGTAGGTTTCGTAGTATGTATTTCCTTCTTCCTAAACAAAATAGCATATTAAACGAAGTCTCCGCACGAAACGCTTGTTGTATGAATATTTAAACAGAAACGACGCTTCCTACGCTTCGAATCTCGACGATCGTCGCCGGAAACCACGCTCGCTTTTATCGGCTTCTCGAGAATTTCTTCACGATGATTTCGTGGATTGTTTTTATTCGTGTACGAAATTCGTTGTTTCAGACGTTGATAAGAACGTTAGGCCCTGATCTTCGAGTTTTCACGTTCCAATTTTGTTCTTGCCTCAGCGAATAAAAAAGGCTTTCAATATTTTAAAAAATGCTTAATGCAAGCGGTTTGAACGTCTGAATATTTAAAAATTTGAATACTCGGATATTTTTTAATCGAAGTACACGAAAATTAAAATATTTGGAGATTCGGAAGTTTGTACAAGTTTGATAACTTGTAATTTGGATACTTGAAAATTTGAATATTCAGAAATCCGAGTATTTGAAGACAGTGGAAATTTAAATATTGGGAAAGTTGAAACTTTGTAGATATCGATATTTGAAAATTCAACATGTTAAGAATTTCAAAGTTTGAAAATTGAAGAATTCAGAGATCTGAAGATTTCAAAATTCGAAGATTTATAAATCATTGAATGAACGATCAATGGCAGAATAATGCTACCACCACGAGAGGACGCGATTCGGTCAGGTATATTCAAGCGTAGCTGCGACCACCTTTTCCGTCCGCTATACTTTTTCGTGTCGAGGCTCTCGTAGGCCCCGTTCCTTTGTGTGTTGGTGACACAGGGCCCAATCGTATCTTGTACATCGGGGCCTGGATACGTAGAACTGGCTTTTGTCCCAGTACTCGTAGTACGGGTCTCTCGTATTCTCGTACGATTCACGTACACCTTCAAGACCACACGGAACCGTTCCTCGTGACTGGAGTAGTTCTACGAGAGGAGCGGTGGACCGCAGGCAGGGGCGTACGGAGTAATTTCAACGCGTGGTCGTGTAGAAGCTGGAGCAAAGAGCTTGCTCTCTCATGCAAATAAACTGCCTGACCCAACGGGGCGAGTCGTCTCCTTTTTTGCACGTCTGTGTCGTTATCTAGAACTAAATGTCATATTACATTTGCATAAATGTTGCAAGCAAAGTGTTCAGATTTTCTTAAACATATAGTAATTTTAGATTATGAACGTATGAACATTTGATAGGTCGATATTCTGCCCTGTTCAGAGAGTTACAAAGTTTTTGCGTTAATAATATTAGAGTTTGCTATTTGGACATAGAAATGGGGGAATAGGAATAAAACTTAAAGGAACATAACGATGATAATTCTCAACGTGATGGCCTCTTTTTCTTTGGTTAGGATTACGGGCTATTAAGTCTTTCTTTTTTTGTACTTCAAGTATGTCGAAGTGGATAATGGTAATGTAGTTTAAAAATTCTTGGAAGAACAGGTACTCTTTGATAGTATAGTTCATGTTGGTCAGAATAGTTGTTTTAGAGATTTATAAAGGGGATTACTTAATTGTCCAAGAGCTGGATTTATTTGTTCTTTGCACGTGTAGGTTACGTGTGGTAGATAAGGAGTTGTGTCAGCGTGTTTTATGTGCTTTGATAACAACGCCTCGGTGATTAGAACTTTCTCCGATGATGTAATTCTTCAGGTTTAGTTTAAGTTACCTAAATCGTACGTGTTTGCCAAGAATCACTTCGCTGCTACATTTCCTTGGTGAATAATTAGATTGCTTTTCATTTTTGTAAAATTTATACTCAGTATATTTTCTATTTAGTATACCAGTTAGATAAAGCGTATTTGCTTGAATTTTTGAAAATTAGCTTGTTTCTGTCTGTGTTTTAGAGCTCATCCTTTAATCTAACCTTCGCGGCAACACCTGTTCCCAACCCCCTTTTTAAACATATGTTCTGGCCCTAGAATATACTTCGATAAGAATCATCGTTGTACAGACACAGGTTACTACAAAATTTTATTACAAATTCACTCTCCCTTTATCAACTTTTTTCTTTGACAAAACAATTTTGCTATCTGCTTTTCGCATTTTGAAAACTTCGATTAAGTGAAATGCCAATAAAACATAGTGAGAGATAATAATTCTTTGCTTATTCAACGCAAATTTAAACAAACCCAAACTTAAATAATCCCCGAATTCAACACCAATTTATCTATTCAAAATTCTATCAAACTCTCTAAAATCCTTCTTTCATCTAATTAAAAATCTTCCGATCTTTAAACCAATTTAGAAACTAAATAATTCAAAACGGATACGTGAAAACTATTGTCAATAGTTCCTCGATCCGGAAGTCTGCCAAAATCTTTAAAATATTTCACATAGCAAACAAAAAAGAGCAAAAGTGCTTTTAATAAAAATTATCCAGTCATCGAACCACCTTTTACAGAATTTTTTAATAATCAAACTATCACTCGAACAATTCCACCAAATTTTCCAAAATCTCTTGCCGAAATAATAATTACGAAAGGAATCGTTCAAACAAGAATTGTCGAATCATCGAACCATCTCTCGAAAGGAGCACAAATCTGAAGAAATGAGGCCACTGAAGAGCCTCAGGAATACAGTCCTGGTTGGGCCGGCGGTCGGCCAGGTTGGTGAACGTAGGACAGCTAACCAGGTGACGTCATTGGCTTCTCGGATCTATGTAGGGCCCGTGTCGTCGGTAGGGGAAAGAAGAGGGGCCAGCGTGGCGAGAAACAAGAGGAAGAAAGACGAAACGAAGGGTGGGAGTTGTTCTCCGGCACAGTGTGAGCCGTTGCTTTCAGGTACGAGCGCACGGCGCCGCGTGCAGGTAGTCTCGTGTTCGTCCTCCACGTTTCTCGACGCGATCGAACCTTTCCGCCCGATTCAACACGATTCCTCGGTCTTTAACGTCAACCCTCGCGATATCCAAATGTATATTCCATATTCCATATATATTCCATATACTCCATATACTGAAAACATCGAATAGAAGAGTGTTGAAGCGTCGAACGGTGGTATTGTGCTTTCTTCGTATCGCGGGCTGTTTCGGCTACTTTCTTCAATGAAGTATAAAGACGAAGTTTCAACGCGTGAAAGACTGGCGAATCTAAGAATCTAAAAATCCATTGCATGGAAGAGCGTTGTTGCGTGGAATGTTGATACCATGCGTTCATCCTATCGCGAGGTTGCTTCGGATACTCCTCGATGAAGGATAAAAACGAAGTTTCAAAGTGCAAAAGACTATTGAATTTAAAGAAACGTCTTCGGAGAAGTTGATGTTATTGTATGGATCTTTGTAATGGCAGAGTGGATGTTTTGTGGAAGTTGGCGAAGAAACAAGTTACCGTTGATCGTGGTTTCATAGTGTTTACGTGAGCTGGGTCGGCTGCATTTTAACGGAGGCAGCGATTTTTCTGTGGTTTGACGAAGGAAACGCTGGAGGTCTCTTGAATAAGTAGCTTGATCGCTGCCAAGTGCGTCTTAGATTGTTTAGAGCGAGGCTGATGCGTCGCAGCTAAGAGACAGTAGGATTGAAACGTTAACCGTGAAACTGGCTTTTTAAAATCTCTTCTGGACTTTGTACGTCAATTTATGAATCTTTTATAAAGATTGTAAAGCGAAATTGACGCGGACGAAGCGTTCAATGAATAATCTACCACTTTTCTAATTTCTATTAAAGAGAATTTGTATCTGAAAAAAGATGTAGATTGCCCTTTGTGTTTAAAGAAGATCGACAGACAAATATCTAATACGTTAATAATTATTCTCAAGAATTTGTGAATCTGAGATTATTAATCGATTTATAGACATTTACTATCGTTCCTAAGTTTCATCAAGGGGCATTTACATTTGAAGAGAACATAAACAGTTGGATACTTAATACAGGTTTTTCTTATGAATCTATGAATTCTCGAGTGTCGATCGAGACGTGCCAGCGAGAATTTTAAAGAAACCATGTCGGGGAAGGAACGGAGCACGTGGCACGCTGAAGTGGAACGAACGAATCGGGGGAGAGACGCAACGAGTCGTTAACGCCCGGAAGAGAGGTTTCCTACCGAGTCAGGTAGAATATTCTAAAACGCTTCCTCGTTATTACGAATACAATACTCGATGATTTTCTGTATTCAATTAGAAAAAAATGCAAAATTATTAAACATCGTATTATCGTGAGCGGAGAAACAGTTTTATCAGAGAGAATCTACCACGCTCCCTCGAAGAATATTTATCTTGGAAGAAAAGTTCCCAAGCTAAAGGGGAAAGAAGCTATGCGGGATTTATTCAGAGTGTGAAAGACCACTAAGCTTCGTAGATCGAAGCGGTGACTTCACTTGCCAAACGAGTTTATGTTTTTAATCGAGTCTACGACTCGTCTGGCAACGGGTTCTCCCTCGGTACATCCGGCATGCAATTGCTGGATACGAATCCTCCTTGGGTATTCGCGGAGGATCATCTACCGGGCTCCCTTTCACGACGTGGCCACCTATTTCCCGTCTGTAAACGCGTTTCTTTCTTGCCTTTCCTTCCGTAAAAAAGCACCAGCCTCGTGCCATTCAGCGACTACGGATGTTCTCGTCAATATCGTATCCGATAATTGAAATATCGCTTGATACATTGGCCCACACGTAGCAGAAGGTTAAATCGTTCCAAATTTTGCAGCAAGAACATTGATTTATAGGATGATACTAAATTGAGAGCTACTAACGAGAAGTAGCGTCGAGAATAGCCGAGAAGTGGAAGTTTTGATTAAGTTTTCCCGAAATTATTCTTAATTTATGGAACGATGCTAAAGTAAGAAATATCAGGGAAAGTAAAATAGTACTCGAAATATCTGAAAAAGGTAGAGAATTAATAATTGAATTACTCGAAACGTCGCAGTAAGTCATTTTTAATTGAGAGACGCTGAAGAAGCTAAAATAATATTAAAAGTATCTGAAGAATAAAAAATATAATTAAGTTGTAACAAATCGATTTTAATTTAAATATATCAATTTATAAAATAGGAAATACTAAAAAGATTAAGATAGTTCCCACCATAAGTGGAAATCTTGATGAAATTGAGCGAAAAATTGCAGTAAGTCGATACTAAACTAAAGATTACTAAAGAAGATTACTAAAGTGATATGAAGAATATTTAAAAAGTGTGAGTTTTAATGAAACTTGGATTTTATTTTCAACATGAAACTTTTATATATATCTTGTGTTGCTGTAAACTATAATAACATTAGAAGAGAGGTAGAAAGTCAATAGGAAGAATTACAAGGTGTTATTGGAATCGAGAGGAAAAAAGGGATCGACGAGGGACACAAAAGGAAGAGAAGGTCCTGCGTGGCAAGTGCAACGAGCGGATTAAGCGGACTAACGAATCGCGCGTGTAGACACTGCAAACAGAACTATCTCTCCGCGAGAGGATCAGAGAGAGGAACTCGGCAGAGTGAGAATTTGTATTTGCTCGTGACCAGTCGTAGAGGCATGACACTCGGCCCGAACGTCGCTCTTATCTCGATTTTCAAACGCAATTTCGCGCTGGGTGTGTTTCCACCGTTACGTGATTCCGTGTGCTTTGCGAACTCTAGAAGAATTTCGTTGACTGTGCGTTGAGTTTCAGCAAAAATTTTTACCAGAGACAATCGTATAGGTTTTGTTGGCAGAAAAACAACTTTTTTAATTTCGATATACCTTGAAGATTCATTATTTACACGACACATACGATAATTAGAGAGAATTATTTTCTGAATTTTATTCTTAGAAATGATTTTTGTCAGAATTACTGTGAGAAATGTTGCTTATTCTGAACGTTGTAGAAGAAGATAATAATTGAAAAGCAATTTAAAAAACTGTATGAATGGAATAAAAATGAGAAGTGACTAAATGAGAAAAACAAATTACTATTAAATGTTTGAACGAATAGCAATTTAAAGAACGTATAATATATTCGACTAAAGAATGCGTGAACATTCTAAAGAAGTGACTAAAGAAAATAGACTTAGTAAATTTTTAAAAGGGTGATTTTAAAATGAAACGACGAAGATCACGTTTCGTTTTGCGGACTGATCATCGCAGAAGAAAGTATAATTAATCTCAAAGGATTTCTGGAAGAATATCGAAACGAGGGTGCTCTTTGAGCATCGTTTAGTAAAAGATGAGACGAGTAGACTCGAAACGATTTTGAGAGGTGACGTTTTAAGATGAAACGGAGACACTTGTAGTCAGTTTCTGCGGTCGAGAGATATTGCGGAAGAAAATGTTGAAGTGGATAAAAGTTCGCCAGGACGCGTCGGCGACGCCGACGTCGCTCGATCACGAAAAGAAAGACGAGGTGGTGGCAAAGGTCGAAGTTGAAGAAGTGGCGAAAGAAGAGGAGGAAGACAGTGGAATGGAAAGGGAGGATACGCCATCCAACATCGAGTTGAACGATCTACGAAAAGTATGCTAAATCGTATAATTAACGCAACATTTCCTTGAAAGATCCCGTACATTATTTTGTCACCACTTCTTGGAAAAAACTAAAATTGGCTTCAACTTTTATCCTGTTGATAGCTGCAGATCAAAATATGCAAATTTATAAACTTCTTTGTTAAGATAAAGCATACAAATTTTTGATTTTCTCACAATTCTCTTGCGTTTCCTTATGATCGTTATTTTCTTAATGCATCGTCGATTTGTCAAAAGGATGACACAACTAGGAGATGTAAATTTCTGAAGAATTCGATTTGAAATAGAAAGTTGGAAATAGAAAAAGATTAATAACTCAGTCATCTAGTCATGAAAAAATTCTCTTTGTTTTAAATTATCACTCTTTCATCGCACCAACGACACAGATACATATTCTGGAAATGTTGTCACGTAACTTAGGTCTGGATCTGTCAATATTTTTTGTACCTTCTTAAAGAAAGTTAATGGACACGTCTTTTTTTTCTTTAAAATGCATTAAGACTGGCAAGATAAGAATTAGTGGTTCTGTGCACGGAAGCATTCGAAGCAATACACATGGCTCCTCTTTAAAATGTCGTTAGCGTTCGATTTCTTGTGCTCCTAGCACTTGAACAGATTTCCCATACCATTCACAATTCTGTCTTCTTTCGTCAAGATTCGATGTAGAGATTGGGCAATGTCTAACTGAAATATTTAAAATGGGATAATCAGTAAACCTCAACTCGTAAGAATTTTCAACTCAAAAGGGAGCATTTATTTATTTTTACTTTTGATACAATAATTCTCTAAACGCAGTATTAAATACGAATGCCATCTTTTCATAAAATTAAACGAACAACTTCTTCATCGATAATTTCTTTCAAATCGGACTCAAAATAACTTTCAACATTCTTCCACTCGTACTCTTATGAACTTCAATTGAAACAACTTTCAAGTGTCAAAAAGCACATCAAATGAAACTGGTGTGTCATTTTCCTGTAAATCAAGCTCGCATTGGATCTCTATTAATTGTACTCATCAATAGTTGCTTTGAAATTGCATCAGAAAGAATTTTCAATATTCTTTCATTCCCATAGCTATAAATCACAATTAAACCAACTTTCAAGTGTCAAAAAGCACTCCGAACGAAATTAGTCCATTGATTTCCTATAAGTCAATCTCTAACAACTCGTTTTCACCAGACTATGCGATCAATCACAATTAAAACAATTTTCAGATATCGAGAAATACAGGGAATGAAATTAGTCCATCTATTTGCTATAAATCAAATTTACGTGATAAATCTTAGAACAGTGTCGCTTTCATTGATCGATTTCACTGACGCGGCAAAGTAGTTTCAGCGAGCGGGCTAGTTTTTTTTCGACGTACCAGACTAACAGGTAACCTGCTTCCAACAGGTACGATACCTTTGTCGATGCACGTGGTGGACGTCCAAACGGACTATCGTCGTCTTTATGTCGACCAAAGTAAGCAGAGTCGTACCATATCTGTCACTTCCATTACCGCCGTCTTCCTCTCGCGGCACTCGATACTCATTGAACGACTTTCATTGAAAAATTTCACCAGGCATTTGCGGTTCTTTGGGTTTGACGATAGCGCGTGCATCGAGTTTCCTTGGGGCGAGTAGGAGTGACAGTTAAAGGACAAGGTTTGCTTTCTCCTGATTAATAACTAGTTTTGTGCCGGATCTTGGATAGTTAATATCTTGAACCGCAATAGTAGATTTCATTGGAACTCGATTTTCTATAAGATTTCTATGATGATAATTGGGTTTCTATCATGTATTGAAAGTATATTAAAGATTCCTTATTTCTACATTTGTAACCATTTTTGGTTGATGTAGTTGTAATAATTCATACTAATGGATGTTAGTCGTTGTAACAATTATTCGATCTTTAGTAGATAGTGGGAAGAACAGGGGAGGAAATTCTGAGAAATAGAATGTTGATTACGTTCTTGTTTCTATTATCAACTAGATGCAATAGAATTGAAATGAAATAACTACATAAATCTAAGTAACAGAATCATTGGTTTGCTGGTATGTAGTGGACCAAAGATTAGAAGAAATAAAATAAAATTTATTAGACAAAAAGCCTAATGTATATATCAAATTGTTTCTTGTGAAATAAAAGAAAGATATAAAGATTGAATTCTGCTATTTTTATGAATCAAACTTACAAAATATTTTTACAAAATCTATAGATGCATTTTCTTAATTTTCATTTCAATTAATACAAAACATCAAGATCGTAACACTTTTTATCCAATTTATAAATATATTTATCTTCGTACTTCGTAATGAGAAGTCTTTACGATTCATGCTATTACATATCAGATATCGTTTTCCATTCGAAACCAAATGATCGATCGGCCGATCGATCACGAACATCCCTCACAAAGAATCTTACGCTACGCAGCTATTACACGGTTGCGTAGCGCTGTTTGCTTTTTTGTTTTTTTCCTTTCGTTAACATTTTTCTCGTCGTTGCGTCTGGAAGTGCTGCACGCGTTGAGCAAGCAGCCCGAAGCGGTGCGTACTGCCAACTTTCTACGTATGACCACCAATCGGTCGAGGATTAGTTACGAAACTAACTCGTTTGCCATAGTCTCGCGCGAAATCGCCATTTATTCGCGGTATTTTTGCACAATCTTTCAGAGAACACATCTTTGGATACGCAACACATACACGACAAAAAAGGCGATTTACATATTCAGCGCTAAAACATTTTTCGTAACGTACTTACTGACGCGACTAGAGAAAAAGCTTCGTTTACTAATATGAGAATCTTTTTACAAAAATTTTCAATATATCACATAATAATTATATAATTTGCAATATATCACATGTGGCATAGAAATGACTTGTGTATCGGAATCTGGAAATTTCTGTTGCTACGTTTTAAGATAATGAAAAAAGTGGCAAGATATGGTGTACTATGCTATAATGTTACATTAAATAAGAAACTACCCGAATTTATTAAAATTCGAATATTCAACGTTTCAAAATTTTTGTTTCCACGATATTTCTCGAAACACGAGCGAACGCACAATGCAACATTGCACTCGCAATTTAACACGATCATTTACAATTTACAACATTTTTAAGAAATGTCATTTCTTTATCAAGATTAATAAATAAGCGGTATTAAGTCTGAAAGACGTGAAGAAACGATAACAAGTAAATACATAATAAATTTCTAGCGGATTTAAATGTTCAGAAATTTGTAGAATGCATATAACATGCAAAAGTAGATGAGATATCCAAAGTAAAATATCTAGAAATCTAAACGAGTCTTCATTTAGTTCGCATAAGTTTCTTTAGCTGCATTCATGAAAATACGAATTTGCATAAACGTTCTTAGTCCATAAACAACTATGTACTCCTACTTATACTCTATTTGGCTTGCACGCGTTCAATCGTATATACCCAAGCATAGTGTGGAAAAGAGTTCGCCAAAATTGGCAATTGATGACTCTCTATGACCGAAGACGTTCGCAGCGAACGTTTCGAAATTCGGTTCTAGCTCGTTCCTTCATTCATGTCGAGGTGATATGCTGATTAGGGTAAAGAAACGGATCGCTCGTACGATCGTTTAAAAGTACGAGGATTTCGTTCAGGTTGCCGATCTGATTTACATACACGGGATTTGCATACGTTTACGTAACGGGAAATTGAGAGTGCGTGGGCGTTATGAGTTTCCTTTTACATTCGCCATTCGGGACTTGATGCACAGTGGAACAACTTGGTGCTGTACTTTCGTCAATTCTGCGTTTGCTCATGATACTTGTGACGTATTTTGCTGGTGAAACAGTAACGTTGCGTTGGACGTAATATAGTATTTGACAGTACAAAGTGGTGGCGTGAATTAATATTTGTACAATGTATTTGTATTGTGTTTTCTGCGTGGCAATAGAATTGTTCTCGTGAGGTAAAGTATTTGTATAATATGTCATATATTCTCTGTGATAATAGAATTATTTTTTTAAAGCAGAGTGTAAAATTGATTAGAATTTGCCTATAGAACTGTATAGAACTGTATAGAATTTGTTATTTTTCTCGCAGCAATTTTAAACTTCCTGTCCTGTTGCAAGGGCATATTTCAATATTATTCAGGATATTTAAGAAAGTAAATTAAGATTTGTATTGAAGCATCTTTCTAATTAGGATTCACAACCATATATATTTTGATATACGGACATTTGAAAAACAACATTGATCGATTGCATGTCATTAGAATATTTTAGAACATGTTGTTTGGGCAATTAATCGACATAGTCTGTTTGAATAATTGAATACAGTCAATTGATGCATACGAATGTTCCGTGAAGTTGTATGAAAATTAAGGTACAGGGAAGAAAGAAAGGCGAGGAGAACCTGTCGCCAAAACGAAGCTACTTTAGTATGGAAATTTGTGGTCCGAATTCATGAATAATAATAAATGACTTGAAAAAAATGAGTCTTTTATATGGCTACCAAAAAGCGGAAAATTTATTTCTTTGACGGGGCCTACTTTACCCACGAACAGTTTATCTCTTTCCTTAAAAAAGTATTTTGAACTCGAACGATTAAGTATTATTTTTAACTCTCGTTTGTAAAAGATAAATCGCATTGGGTAACAAACGGATGTTAAAATGTTAATTTTATGCACATAATAATTTTATACAGATTTCAATTTTTTATCATAATCAGTCTAGCAATTCAGACCCTAAAGTATCAATTTGCATAAAATTTATGTACTGTTCGCACAGTCGCGATATCAATTTTATAAATAACGTTGCACAACGTTGCCTATACTTTTATGACATTTGTGCCGTAATTGTTATCCGATGCTGCAGGGCAAAAGTTTCATACGATATTGCACAATATTTCTTCATGCCTTCTGGCCAGTGCATCTTCTGCATCGGTAACGCGATACGTGTGTCCTACAAACAGAGATATTTACACAGTCTTCGCGACACATGCCAGGCTCTTTGCTACTGTTCATGTCCTATTCTGTCCACGAAGCGACTGGTCTCTTGTCTCGAAAGTTCTTATTCATCAGAATGTTCCATCGTTTAACGCCGTGTCACCAGAGAATTGAATACTCGAGTAGTGGAATGGTAGTGAAACTCTTCGTCATATAATATGTTGAAATACTTACAGTCTAAAGGAGAACGTCTCTTGGTTTAATTTAAAGAAATTATGTAGTGTAACACTTTAGTCAAGCGATCACGTTACTCATCATCTAGGCTCTCTTTGGTAATTTTTTATTTATTTTTCACTTGTAGGTCTTTTCCAATACCCATATGCAACAATTTATTAGTAACATACAAGTAATTACATCATAGACTTGCTCGGATGTGCACATTCGTCTCAATTAAGCTTTTCAATTATCGTATCATCACATCAACAAGCATTCGCCAAGCGAACAAAATTTAATTACATTTAACAATAACATCACAATGAACAATAAAATACACAAACAGATGCATTATATAAACGATGATACAAATGGCACATTTATTAGCCATACAAAAACTCCTAAATCATCAAACTCTTCATTGAACATCAAAATCATCTTAGCTCCGATCCTCTAATGGCTCCGACCCATTCACTAACGTTTCCTCCACGCATCGCGCTAATCCTCCAAAGCAGTGAAACGTCTGTTACCTTGAGCCACTTCGACAATCAACCACAAAAACTCTATGGGAGTACGACTAGCCATAAAACAATTCTTTTCAACGACACAATAGCAACGTACGTATACTAATATCTCGTTAGTTCGTGCCGCGTAATATCCTAGCGAAAGGCTAAGGCGATATGATCCAAACAGACATTGGAGAGACGCCATTAATCACTGAACGCGTTAAACAATTTCTCGAGCGTGTTTCTCGAAGACAAAAGCGGCCGCCCTCACCCTCTCCTTCTCGAACCCCTATTTTCCGATCGGTTGGCATTAAATTCGTTCGTCATCTTGTCTGTTACAGGACCTTTTCTCGCAGCTGCAGTTTTCGCAAGAGAGCGCGCTGCCGCCCGACACGCTGCGCCGCGCTCTGGCCGAGAGCTTTCTCGACCAGCAAAGGTTCCAGCTCGGATTCATGGACGACGCTGCGGAATGTTTCGTAAGTGGCGATTACCTAGTTCCCTTTGGCCTGTTACGCGCGCGATCAGCCAAGCTATGAGCCGAGTTGAGAGTTTGAATCTAAGCGAAACGAGTTTGCAATTTACTTGTACACGGGCGTTTTGCGATCTTAATCCTTTGGAGATGAGAATTCTTTCGGTACGAAGATCAAAAGGGAAGAGCATAAGCATATATTTCGTAGTTTTGATACGGAAACAGCTTTCAAATTCAGTATCTTGTTAAATAATAATAAAAATGTTACTGAAATTGTCATTGTTATTCGTAGCTTTTTCAGGTGAATTTCATGTAATAGAGGGATGAGGGTAGTTGAAAGTCTGTGAGGTAAATCATGGAAAGAATTAGAAAACGAAAAAAGATGGGTGGATTTGGAGGGATTTTATTTCATGTAGGATGTAGAAGGAAAGTTAAGGGATGAAGGGATGAAACGAAAGGTAAAAGTAGCTGTGGTTACGTTGCACTTTCGAAGTTTTAAAATCTGGAATCGTTGGAAAGGCGATTTTTAATCTTCTGCGTCTTAATTTTTGTAATATGATTATGGAGATATTGGAAGGTTATGAATTTCGAATAGGGTTATTGGCGATAAACAAACAGCGGATATTTACATACCTGTAGGACATTTAAAAATGTAGAAACATATAGAATATGCACATACTATTTAAAGAATCAAATCCTTCTTTAGATTCTACTTCTTTAACAAAAAATTTGAAAGAAAATGCAAGAAAGTCTAAGTTCGCATAAACATGCGCAGCCCAGTTATAAACGTTCCAGTACCAATGATCATAACCAAAGTCTCGATACTTCTTACAAATCTTACAGCAACGTTTCATGTTGTTTTTGTCCATTCATAAGAACGATTAGCCATTACTAGCGACTATAACGCTGGCAGTCGCATTAATCTTTCCGTTTCGACATTCACGCCGGTGTGTCGCGGTTTCCTTCGATTTTCCAAGTGGTTTACGATCCTGAATATTCCATCCTGCAAACCAGTTTTCCCTCTCTGTTTCTCCTCCGTCTGCGTAGTCTGCGTACTATACGCAGTGACCAACTATCGCGGATTGCCGTAACGTGTTCGTAGGTGAGCCTAAGCAAATACACACTCGGTAGTGTTCACTTTCTCGTTTACACCGGAGTCACGTTTAGCCGGCTGCCGTTTGTACGCGTGCGTATGTCGACACGCAGTTGGAGCTGGATAAAATGAATGTAACGTCGCGAATGCAATCCTCGGGTATAATAGATGTAAAGACTCGGCGAGCATGCTACTTAGCTATCTGGAGCGTTCTAGACTTCCAAGTACCCATGCTGATTGGATTATGTTTCGCGGTCAGCGGTAATTAAGCGATTCGATCGTGACACTGACGATTTAGAGTCCCTGGCCTTCGAATATTCGCACGATAAATTTTGAATATTTCAATACTTCCATTTCTTCAAATTTCACTAAATTATCGGGTCTTTCGTGATAAAGAACAGAATCCCTTAAGCTGAATTAATTGAAAAAGGACTAGTAGACATATCGATAGGTATGCTAGAATTTTTTACATCTTTTTGAAAGGCTAGAAAAATAAATAAAATTATACTTGCATAGAAATGAACCAATTTACTTATGCAGAGTTTAAAGGATGCTATAGAAGAGTTTGCGGAGAACGAGTTTAGGTACACTTAGGTAGTTCTATCTATTTAGCAAAGTTATTTTGTTGCAGTCATTTGAACACGAACAGTTGATCTACTATTGAAAGAATAAATAACTAAAACGATGGTTATCTGCCTATTGCGAGAACGAAACCAAAGCCGTTAACATATGCATGAGGGAATTAATGTCAATAGAAAAGTACCACAAGTACACTTTTTCCTACAAACGTGACGAATATAAAAAAGAGATATATAACATTCATATTCATTTAGAGGATCTTGTTAGTACTGTTAGTACTGATAACATGCAAGTTCTTTCATTATATCAATCGATAAAGTATATGTTTCAAAGTGGAAATACACAAAAATGATAAAAATTGTACATTTTCATATGACATTTTTTTAACTTTTCACACTAAACTAAATAAAATACAAAGATCGATCTTAGTCGATGTATATCATTATATGAAAGGGATGTGCATTCCTAACCTACCTGTAGATCTGCAAATGGTAATTATGCTAAACAACTATCGACTAGAAGCTACAAGCCCCATAAATTGTGTCATGTGACGAATGAAAAGGTGTAAATTTTAGTTACGTCAAAATGTATGCACTTGTTGCTTGTTCGCAATTCACAACATTAATACTCACTAGCTAATTTTCTTCTACCAAAGGATTAAGATTGCCTTTTTGTGTGATAGAAAGCGAGTTGTAAATTCTGGTGTTAAAAAAAATTATTATTTACAGTCTCGATACGAGCGGTGTGTAAGAAATGTTGCAAAATGGAGTCTGAGGGCTGATTTAGAACCGCATGAATTTTAACCATACTGATCATCCCATTACTTATATCTCTGGCTATGTCTTTAAATTTCCAATACGGAGCGCTTACGTTTCAAGACCTGCTGCCGTTTGACATTTGCCTAAATTTACGACTGGCTTTATACCTCTTCCAGCAACAGTACCTCGAAGAATGACGTAGAGAAGAATATGATAATATACGACGTTCTGGGCTTGCGCGGTTGCTTTTTATGATTTCGACTCACTGCTTTTTAGGTTTCATTTGGTTGGAGTTTTGATATATTGATTTTCCACTCGAATAATATATTTAGCTTTCATTTGTTAATAGTCACGCATACAATATCATTAATTCGGGTGTTATTTTACGCTATTTATCTGCGATAAACAGAACCGAAATATAAATCATTTATCTGTCAAAAATTTGATCTCTATTTCTACAAATAAATTTATTTATTTTTAAAAAGATATTCACAAAGTTTTGTTCCGTTTTTTTTTTCTTTTTTTGGGGGGGAAATATGAACACTAACTATTTATTCAACCAATCAAGTTGAAACATTCACAGAAAATAGAGTGGGTGTTTATTCTAAGAGATTCACTTTATTCATTGTTCTAAGAGAATCGCAAGAAGCTACTGACAACAAATTGATTTTACATAAAAATCCAGTTTTTTATACAGAAAAAAATTACAATTTTTTACAGAACGATTAAAAAGGCGCGATAAATCAAGCAAGTATAGAAATGCACATCCTGCTAGTTACGCTTTGAAATTACAATAATCAATGGCTGATTACCAAGGACTCTTCTATTTCTAGCGGTGTATCATCGAGGATACGCTAATAACGGGAGACATATTTACGGGGAACGTGTTGTTTCAGGAAAACATTCTTCTGCGTATACATCTTCACATAGCCAGCGGAGAGGCGGAAGACATGTGCAGCGCGAGACACTGCGTGCCACATCAGAAGTTCGCCATGACGTTGGTCGAGCAAAGCGTTTGCGGAGCTTGCGGCGCAACCTCGGAGCCTCTGCCTTTTACACAGGTCAGTTTAATCGCTGACACTTTCCTCAAAGGGAATCGATGTTTCCAGTGAACCGCCCACTGAACAAATAACGACCGAAGCTTTAGTTGCAATTAATCAACTTTCAAGGGACTTTTAGTTAAACTGAGATTTACATAATTGGATAGAGTTGGAGGTAGAAGAAAACTTCAACAGAGAAGCGATTTTGGTAGATGAATTTAGAGTTAAATGCTTTTTCAACGTTAAAATGTTTTAATTTCTAATATGTATCTGGATATTAATTATATAAAGTATATATACAGAATTAAAATCATATACTGAAAATAAACTGATTGTGATCATGCTTGTGTGAAAACAAAAGTCAACATTTTTAGTAATTGCATGAGAAAGAAAAAATTTGTTATTCGTTGTTATCTTGAGGAGCTTGATAGTTCTAATCTTAAGTAATTATAAACTAGAATTACGAATATGTATGGAAAGGTATAAGATAGAAATAACATTGACAGTTTTTATGTTTAATGAGCAAGATATTTAAAATCAAGTATCCTCAATAGTTAAGATCTATTTTTCTACATGCCAGGCAATGAAGATCGCTTTTCTACAATTGTAATCTTATCTTCAGGTTTTACAAAAATAGGAGAGAAACCTACAAAAAAAGATTGAATTCTCGTAAACATACGTAACACAAACAACAATAGTACTACAACAGTAGTGTCTTCACAACATCCTAATTACATTTCCAAGTCATTCTTATCATAATTCGCAAGATCACCGATAACAATTTTCTCCATCATCACTTCCCTTCGATCATTAGATCATTATCATCGACCACTCGTCTCTAAAATTCTCTCTCCGCATTTAAAAACACGACATTCATGACAAGCACTCATATACATACGTAACGCAGAATCTGTCGATAGCGTGTAGTTCGCGGAAAACGTGTTTCTTGCGAAACGTTCCATTACGTTTCAAGGATAATCCAGAGAACAGTTTCCTCTTTCGCTCCAACCGTCCGATCCATCTGACCGTACGATATTTTCTTACCATTCAACGTTACTTTTCTCACGTAGCCCACGCAGGTGGACCCATAGAAAGGACCTAGAGAAAAAATATGCTCAGGTAGAACTTTCCAAATTGAGGGCTTGGGACAGGTTAGGGTTGGTTCGTAAATAGAGGAAGGAAAATTTAAAGGTAAATAGATGGGGATGAGAATTTTTTTGAGGATCAGGTTGAAAATTTGGAATTTTAGACGTGGAGTGGGATTTTTAATTATTTAGGTTCTAGTTTCTTAATTTTTGTAGTAGGAATTGGAATTACTATGATTACTAGACTATGGATATTTCTGGAATTTTGTAATATTCAGTAATTTTAATCATTATTTTTTTTAATAGTAATTTTATAATGTTTTAATAATTCTATTATATTTCTATTGTATTAGAAACTCAAGTAAAATAACGGAACGTAAATAGAAGTTTGTTTCACCTTGTAGATATTATAATTAACCTTCTATTTTGGATATATTTTATATTTTTCCATGTTATACGCATTCTGTAAAGTTTTAAACTTTTCAATTTTCCAAAAAATACGTAAACGCCCTCAGCGATGGTTTAGAATTCGAATAAGTTTATTGGTGATATTGGCTTATTGATAGTAGAATTCCATACAGTCCGTACTTATTGTGTTTCTGTGAAAACGAGGCAATCGATGAGTTTGAGGGTGGTTCAGGTATTTTAGGCTGATAAACGGGGGAAGCAAGCGGAAGTTGGCCTCTTTGGCTAGGTTTAAGAGATTTAAGCGACTTAGCTAAGAAACCTTAGCGCGTCGAGAAACTGAACGAACGATCGAGTCACGCCGTGTAAACGGATTAGCCGATCGGAATTTGGCGGCTCATTGGTCACGAACGATGAACAGGAACGGAAAGGGATGGATTTTAGGGGTGGATTAGAGTATAATGTTTCGCCCAGTAAACTTGCAATATGATTGGAAGGGTATAAGAACACTTGGAGTTGGTAATGTTCTGTTCAATAAGTCGAAGGGGTTGTAATTGATGTGAAATGAGGATTTGTCGTAGATTGGAATTAATTACTAATTGTTGGAACTACTACTTTATATGAGAAAGGGTTAATAAGCGAATTAATGCTTAATTTCATATAAATAATTATATTTATAATCTGCGGTACCAAAAATTAGGGAACGAAGAAAAAAGGTTTTTATAGAGAGTTTCGTAATAATTTTTTCTCCTATTTGAAGAATTTTATAAATAAAGAATTAAATCTTCATAATATTTTACAAGAGAAACAAGAATTATTTAAAATTCACAAACTTGAATAAAAACCGTTGAAAACTGTAATAATTCCTTCCATTTTATTCAAATTTCCTACTATTTATGATATATATATTTATGATATATATATATATGTTTATTCAAATATATATATATATATTATATATATTATATATATATTATAAACATATAATATATATATATATATATATATTATATGTTTATTCAAAGTCAGTTGTCTGTTGCACGAGCACAGCTGCTACGCTATCGAAACAAATTTAACCAACGTAACATTACGCGAACAGCTTGATCAGCATGCGCAAAACGATAATTTTTATTACAAGAGAAGAACCACAAGATTACAAGGAACCTATTAGCAGATACCGCTGTATGATTTCTTGTTTCGATCTTATTGTAACCTTCTTTTTTTAAATATTAAGAATTTTTTTGTTTGGTTAAACTAGAGGAAAACTGTGGCATAAAAGTTCGAAGACAGTGTTAATTAATGAGAAAAATGAATTACGGAGAAGAATTTCGAACAACAAAGAGAAGGGGAAAAATTTTTGCCCTAAGTTTCACGGTTTTGCCAGATTTAATCACCGTGAACGTATGCCCGTGCAACTGTTTCTCATAAACTGCCCCCTTGTTCGACGAGGTTGATTATTTCCGCCTCGACGAGGAAAGTGAAACTCTCGATTATTCCTCTCTCCGTTCTTGTCACTCGCATTCTACGCTGGGCTATTTGCAACCTTTGCTTCACTCGAAAACGTGTTCGAGTTAAACGCTTCCGCTTATTTATGGAATAAGAAATATAGTTGGTAAATTGTTTCCATTATGCGACAGGTGTATAGGACAGGTTAGATAAGGAAATAATCTCCATAGATTGATTGAAATAAGATTTTCTGTTGCATAATGCATGCAGCATATTTTTTCTTTCAATATATTTCCCTTAAAGGCCTAAAAGCTGATCTTAATTAATACGGGGAAGACTTTCTTCTTAAAATTTATTGTTCTGTATACAAAATGTACAATAATACAATAGGTAAATTACGAATAACTTTACTTCGAATATTCTATATGTTTTTAAACGTTATATGCATTTCGTACCGTTAAATTTCCCATAAACATATAAAAATTCCCGATATAATGATAATTCATAAGAAATTATTATTTTATTAATTTCTAGTTTAAACGACTTCATTGATTATGAATGTATTAAATGAATTAACACAGAACAGTGGAAGAAGCGGACACAAAAAGTTCTTTATCGTGGGAGTGAATATATATCTCACGGTGTATGGAAGAGTTAATTAAATTTCTAGTTAGCAACATGGAATTAGTTGTGGCAAAGTTTCGATAAGAAGGGAAGACCGAGAGCGCGGTCCTGAACAAATGCAATAACGAAAGTCGTATTTCGTTCACGGTACTTCGTAATTACTCCGTTTCTATGATAAAATTATATAATTTTCTGGGAACTTCACACTTCGTTGTGCTTTCATCGTACGCCGCCTGTTTTCCCTTTCATTAAACCAACCCGGGTGATTAAATTCTTTAATCTGTTTCCTTTCACGAGCTATAGAGCTTTTCGCTTTATGAAAATCATGTTCTTAACTCACTAAATACACTTCCTGCAATAACACTCATACTCTTATGTCGCACTTGATTACGAAATTTTCAAGACTTTAGTTTACGATCTCATACACGATATATTCCATATATTTACATTCATCAAAGTGTTGCAAATTTTACAAATTTGAAACGTAGTAAAATTAATCTCAAGAGCATTTTTTCAATAATTGTTTGAATAAAAACAACAATAAGAAATTGTTGAACGACCGCCCCAATTTATTTCCTACTAAATATATATTAATAAATATTTGTGTACGTTAACTAAATTCTACTTACTGTTAGCCAAATACCATTAACCGCGTACGTTATTTATGATAGAATTTTCCTCTGGCATTGCAAACGAAAATTATATCCAAACCATACTAAATCGAGCTACAGGAGATAAAATCCGAAACTCATTGAAAGATTGAAATTTGCGTAATATATCAGGACAAATCGAATTAACGTGTTTCTTAATCTTGTGTTCAGAATAACATGAAAAGTGGACGTTTCTTAATGCAGGCTAGGAACAAAAGCATGATCGGAGCGCATTGTGAGCATAATCGAGCACAGGCCACGAACAGTTCACGTGGGTGGAGTTGGTTCTCCCTTCGTATCGGCTGTTGTCGGCTGTAATTGTAAAAACGCAAAACTCATTGCAATCTGGTATCGGTCATGGCCGATCGCTTTTACCAGCTGGCTACTATTCAGACTCGATGGAACGTTGTATAACATAGGAGAGAGCATGTATACGAAACTTTTACTTTGTTAGAGAATAATGGATACAAGAGTGGCATAGATCAGAAATTGCTATTAGATATTCTGTACAATATTCGACAAAATAATGAAAAATTTCATTTATTGTATAATCATCAGAATAGAGAATTTATGAAGAATTTTAATGTACAGAAATAGACAAAATGTACGTGATACGTGATACGTGATACATCTAAAGTATCTATCTAAACCAAAGTAATTTCTATATGATGAAAGAAATCTCTGGTTAGGTTTTTTTTTGGTTGTGTTCATAAAAATACAAGTTTGCATAAATGCATATTAATGCAGATTAATAATCATACGTCAATCAAGTTTAATTCAAATTTTGGTTTCTATAATCAATATTATCCATCAAAGGTTATCATGGCATGAATCAAAAACAAAATTGATATTGGTGTATTGATGCCATCACGAAAATTGTTACAGAAGTGTATCTATTTAAATAAAGGTTTATTCGTAAAACACATTTATTAATAAATCATTAATTCAATAGTCATTAGAACTAACTGTAGGATTTAATATTTGATCCATTAGCGCAAACTTTCACATTGATCATGTTGAATATTCTTATTTCAATATTAACAAAATGCAACATCTAATTTCAGTTACTAATACTCGACATTTAAATCCGATAATACTAATGTTTACTTTTTTCCCTTTCATTTAATTCCAACAAATCATTCGTCTTCCTAATACACACAATCACGAATCGAAATTTGTTTCCAGATGGTTCATTACGTGTCAGCGTCGGCACTGACGTCGCAAGCTCGACAGACACCTCCGAATTCGCGAAACAGTCCGGATCTCTTCGGTCAGCTCTTGCGAAAAGCCGGAGGCATGGGCGACATCAGGGACTGTCCGGTGAGTAATTTCGATTTTCACTTAAAAGTCGACTTTCTTCCTATATCCGCGTTTTTACAATTTTATGAATCATTTTCTTTCGAACGATTCACAAGTTTGCACCTTAAAACAGTTCCGGTGACTCGCGTTTGATTCATTCGTCTGACGAGATCAGGTACACTCTCCTTTGGCCTTTCTTGGAAATAATATGCCGCGGACTTTCTCTTTGAAGTGGAACGATAACTATCGTTCGAGCGCCGTGGGCTATTTGGTTGGTCGTATGGAGAAGCTGCGGATTCAGATGGAATCCGATGCTACCGAGAAACTCTGTCATTTGCTGAGATTTTTACGACAAAGCAATTAACAAATACTATGGGTCGTGGTTAATAATTATAGGACGAACGATTTAAAAATTAGACCACTTAATCGTTTACTTTTACAATTGCTGTTGAGTAATAGTTACTGCAGTTCTTCTGCTTTGTGGTGGATTAAGATATCGTTAAATAATATTATAATTAATATTATGACACACTGCCTGTTTTGATATTTATGTATTTATTAATCAAATCAACTACCGCGTTGGAGCACTCATAAATTAATTATTAACTTATTTATTAGCGAATTTTGTATTTATTAACTAACCGTATCGATCTAGAATTTGATAGTTATTCCTTTTAAAACTTTAATATTGACCAAACAAAATGTAGAATTTCAATCAAAAAGAGTTTCATTTTGAAAACTATAAAAGCGCGTAAATTACTTTCAACCAGGATATTGTAATAATATGTCATTTTAATTTTTTACCATCCAATGACAAATGAGAATTGTAATTACAAACAGAATTATGAAACATTTTATTTTCTATTTGTAGAGCTCCTGTGGTGCGAAAATCCAAATCTGTCGGACCCTGATGAACCGACCGGAAATCGTTTCCGTCGGAGTTGTATGGGATAGCGAACGGCCGTCGTTGGAGCATATCATGGACGTTTTCGCAACCGTGGGAACGTCCCTCAGATTGAGCGATGTTTTCCACAGTGTAGTGGACTCTCGATGGGGTGCCTCGACCGTGCACAATCTCGTTGGAGTCGTCACATATTACGGGAAACACTACTCCACCTTCTTTTTTCACACTAAACTGAAGGTTAATAATAGTATAGATTGCACGATACACTCTCTTCATTATGCAAATGGATCGACTTAATTCTCGTTTACGGAGGAACTAATTTTTGATGCCGTACATATAAAGTGATTTTGCAATTTAAATAGAGCATAATTATCAGAATTAACATGTGCTTTTTAACGAAACATGAAACGATTAGTATTAGTAGCGTTGATATTGATACATATGAAATGTGTATATAATGTTAATTTTCGAACGAAGGTACAGATAAGTAATGTCATTTCTTAGCGATTTCTTCGATCAATAACAAAAACTTGGTCATTTTGCCTCAGGTATGGATTTACTTTGACGACGCAACCGTCAAAGAAATTGGACCACGGTGGGAACAGGTGGTAGAAAAGTGCAGAAGAGGCAGATATCAGCCGCTGCTTTTGCTGTACGCAACTCCTGGAGGAACTCCGGTGAATACAGAGAATGCCCCGAAAACCGTGACGCCTTTTCCGAACGGAAATGGACTGAAGACACCCCCGAAGAATAATGTTCGACGATCGATCACGCCCAGCCCGGAAAAACCATCGATCAACAGTACCGCCAGACGTGCCATCACACCAAATCCTGATAGTCCTCCTCACCCTTACACGCAACGCAGGATTTATAGTGATTATCAGAATCTGACAGACATTCAGAACAACATCTTTGGAAATCAGGTAACTTTTCTACTTTGATATACGATATCGATCGCTATATTATTAATTATCCTTAATTAGAGATGGATAGTCTATTTATTAAATTACAGTGTTGTAGAAAAATGGTGTAATATATATATCTTATTCAATAATTTTGTCTAACGGAAGGATTTTGATAAAGCCTCCTTTTTTCTTAGAATTGGAAGTATATAGATATTTAAATGTTGGAATATTTGGAATATTTTTATTGCATTATGATACTCGAATCACGGTCTAAAGTCGAATGGTCTACAGTCAAAGACTAAATGTTGGATCGAGATTATTTAATGAATCATTTGCATGTTAAATGATTGGGATGAAGGAGTTGAGAAGAATCCTTAATTTGAGAACACTACAAATACAAATAAATTTTATAATAGAATCTGTATGCTTCCAGATATTAAAAGGAACGATTCTATGAACTCGTACAAATAAGATATTCTTACTTTTGCAATAAAATTTTGACTCTATTCCAAAATATATTAAAACGTAAAAGATATCAATTGTATTTTCGCGATATAAAAGAAATATATTTCTATTTTCTGTTGAAGGGTGTTGATACCGTCGATGGAGAGGCGGAATCCAAGTATATCAGTCGACGTGCCGTGGAAAACGTGATGCAACAGCAGAAGAAACAGCAAATGCAGCTGACACGTAGTCTAAGCGCAGGATCGACACCACAGGATGCTATCAGTATTCCTGACCACTTGAACGTACCACGGAGGCGAGATTCTGGAAACTGGTCTGGTGACCGGAACAGCGCTTCCTCGAGTTCCTCCACCACGATGGATAATCCGTATTTGTACATCGTCAATAAAATGCAGAGGAACTCGGGTGTGCCAAAAAGCCCGACCAGCAAATCTGGAGAACTCTCAAGTAGTAGCAGTGGCCATTACGATGCTGGATACGACTCGTATTCTTTGTCGTCCACGGATAGCCTTCCGCTCCAACAAGGGCTAAAGCATAACCTGCAGGTGCGTGTTACTCTCAACAATATTGAAATAATATTAGTAGCAAATGCTATGGATTTGGCAATAGTAGATATAAACCGTGTAACTGAAAATAGTACAACAAGAGACATTGCTGTACTGTGAAAAAGGCTATTTCTTTGCGGATAATGTCATAGTAAGAATGGTACAATTGATAAGATGATTTTTGGCGAAAAATTGAATCAAAAGTCCTTCATACTCTCCAATATTGTCTTCTTTATTATCGCTTATTATTATCGATGTAAATTTGACATCTTATATGTCAAAACATTGTTCTTCACTTTTGATTTAGTTTTTCATAAGAAATCTGTTCTTTCACATTGTATATTACTCTTTCTAAGATTACTCTGTACACTGTGGTAAAAGATTGCTAGGATATTTTTATTTAATAACTCGACTCGTAGAATTTTTTTCACGTTTTCCTTTGTTTTCGAAATCCTATTTTTTTATTCTATCAAATTTATCTGATATTTTTCCAATACCGTAATATTATTAACGAAAGGGAACGTAGAGTTAAATCGATTTACTTAACATAGCTTGCCCAGATTCCGGAAGGCTACCAAGCTTCTTCAGGCGACGACTGCGAGCGCCTCTGCAAAGAAACCGACGCACTCTTGGACAAATCTCGAGCTGCTGAGGACGCGGGCGACCTCAGCACCGCGGTCGCTTTGTGCAGTGCAGCCAGCAGCAAAGCTAGAGCCGCCATGGATGCACCGTACAACAATCCTCACACTATCAGAACAGCAAGGATGAAGCACAATACTTGCGTGATGAGGACCAGGAGTCTCCACAGAAGAATGTTGCAGGAGCAGGCAACAGCGAATGGAGAAAAGGAAGGTGAGTCGTTTTATTTGGTGCATTTAGTTTCATTTCTGTTAAATATTTATAAGAACTAAACGGCAGACCGAATGAAAACTGATTTATCATCATTAACTTTTAAGAGAAAAATTCAAAGAAAAGTTTCTCGGCAGTGTAAGAAAGACCATTGATCCTAGGCTAGGATTAAAAAAATGATAGGATATTATATTTTATACAAAATCATCTAGAGAATTTATAAATCAATTTATAACACGGATAAATATATATGTTTCAGAAGGAGCACCAGAAGGTAGACATTCACGAGAGAACAGCAAATCTGGCCAACACTCTCGACAGAGTTCCAGGGACAAAGGAAATCATTCTCGACAAAACAGCCGAGAACTCCTAGTAAATCCTCCCTCTACAACTACCGACAAACCTGCCACAAAGAGCATCGAGATCTACGCCACGTTACCAAAAAAGAAGACCTTACGCAGCAAGGCAACAGCCGTGAATGTGATCGAGGATGAGGAGTACATGTTGTACGATCGACCAATGCAAAGGACAGGATTATTCAGTCGTACCAAACGTTGTGACGATGATAAGAAAGACAAGAAGCGAGCTCGAAGTGAAGAAAGAAACAAGAACGTCTCTAAAGACTTCTCCATTGCTCCCTCCCGTTCTTCTCCCTCGCCGAAAGGAGCTAAAGTGGAAAAATCTAAAGAAAATGACATGATTGCCAATAATGTACGAAATTCTCAACCGAATAACGCCAATGGTGAACAAAAACAAGGCAAAAAGCAACACAAAATTAGAAGAAAATTATTGATGGGTGGGTTGATCAAGAGGAAGAATAGGAGCATGCCAGATTTACGAGAAGGCCAGGATGGACAAGCAAATGCCAGCGTGGAGGGTACCTCCAACACTTTACCGAAGCAGTCAGTGGACGATTCAAGCGTTGGTTTAAAGGGCAACGAGGTGTGCCAATCTCTAAGCGGCTATTTATCAGAAGGACACCTAGAGTTTACTGGAAATAGTAATGGTAGCCCAGGCAGTACTAGTAATCCAAATTTGGAGAGAAGTCGTCTAATGAGGAAGAGCTTCCACGGCAGCGCCGGCAAAGTGTTACACGTAGCGAAGGTTCCTCCGCCTCCTCCGCTCAGGACCACTTCTCAACTTAGCAAGTCTAAGTGTTCGGGCGAAGTGCACAACGAGCAGCAATCTGAAAAATCGGTCTATCCAACATCAGAAAGTCAATGTACTTCTAATCCACCTCAAGATCAGAATGGAACATATTGGAATCATGTAAACGCGACAAATTCAGCTGGTGGAGCTAATAGAACATCTAATTACACCGATTACTCGTCCGAGTCTCATTCTCTTCCATTCTTACCCTCTTATAGTATAGAACAAAATAGCGCGAATGTACCAACGTCCTGCCCGTCGAATTATAACAGCAAACCTAGAATTCAGGATGACGTGGTACAGTATGCTAATGGAATCTTGTATGAACCCACGTTTGTGGTTACCAGAGCGGATGTGCACAATGAACAGAGTCCTGTAAAACAGCAAAATCAAGTGGATTCTCTGCCTCCATATCCTGAAAGTGGAAATGTTTCTCATTCGAGACAACCCAGCGAAGACTTTCCCCCTCCGCCATATCCTTCTATTCATTCTGTATCTCATTCGAGACAAGCTAGCGAGGACTTTCCACCACCGCCACCTCCTATTGATGAAAGCTCTAATCATGTTCATGATCAACAACAGTATCAGGAACAGTATCAACATCAGTATCAGCAACAACAATATCAGCAGTATCAACAACACCAGCACCAGCAGCAGCAACAGATCGTACATATGCAGCAGCGTCAACAGCAGCTGGATAATCAGCACATTAGTAGCTTATTGTCCCAGTTGCAGATGAAAAGGGATCAAATTTTAGCCTGTGAAGCTTCAAGAGAGGAAAAGAGATCCGAAGAACAGGAGGAAGAAGAGAAATCGTCTGGAGAGACTTGGTTACGTGAATTGCAGGCAAAACAGGCAGAGAGGAGGATGAAGAAGCAGGGTCCTCTTGAACAAGATATTCCAAAAGTTAGGTCGTCTGCTCCAACAATTTCAGGACCAACGATCGCCAGGAGAACGAGCGATTTGATGATGAATAGTTTTGGCCAAAGTTACGATCAGTCCAGTCGGGATGTGCCCGATTGTCCAAGGGTCGTTTCTTCTGTTAAAGACATGGCTGCTAGATTCGAGCAAATTAAGTTGCAACCAGTGCCTAAAACAGAACCAGACCAGAAAATTCTAACGAAGCAAAATGTGAACTGTGTTTCTCCTTCTCCACTATTAGATGCTCCTCAGGATGTACAAGTGGAAGAATCGAGGCCAATGAAGTTATCTACAGAAAATCTGGCGAACTTTACTAAAACTGACAATTCCTCGAGTCAGTCGATCATGAATTCGAGCTTCGAATCTAGTTCCAGTCAGAACAGTTTTATTTCCACTACAGCCCCGAATAATCCCATGCAAATACAGCAGAGCGGATTAAATCAAGCAATCATGTCGATGTCTCTTACGCTGCCACACGAAAACGGCTTGCCTATTGATTATCCAGAGGATGATATCAGCGAAGTTGCTATGCAGAATACCATACAGAATACGACGATTCTACCAAGTGAGGACGATATCGCGCCGAGGAAAGTGAAACGACGAATAGGAAAAAAGAAGAGCGTATCGTTCTGTGACCAAGTCGTTCTCGTTGCAACTGCAGAGGACGACGAGAAAGATTCTTATATACCTAATCCGATTCTGGAAAGAGTTCTTCGATCAGCGATGAACAAGCCAGAAACTGCTCAAGTCCTTCGAGAGATTAGAAGTCTTCAGGAAGCGGAGATGAATAGAGAGAATTGCACTGCCACCAAATTCCAACAGCAGACGCTGCCATTGAAAAGCGAAGCGGACAGTGTTCCTGCAACTCCGTATCAAGATCAGTTGAGAAGCGTGAACCCTATACCTATACCAGACACGATTAAACCTACTTTTGGAAGGCAAAATTCAAACGAGTCGGTGGGATCATTGTCAGACAAGAAATTATGTAGTTCTTATGGTAATGAAGGGCAGGATGTTGTCAGGGATACCTACTCAGGACTTCCCAATGTATCCAAACCACCTACATCGTATTCTCCGCAACTCCAGCAACAGATAAGATACTCTCAGAATGGATACATGCCATATTTGCAATCTCAGTCAACGTATCCCCAAGCACAGACGTCTCATCCAAGAAACCAAGGCATTCCTCTGTCTCAAACCCAGAAACCAGCCAGTCCTTACCCCACTCAAATTCAGTATGTACAGAACAACGTGCAGCAACAGAAAGGAATGTCCCAAAAGAGCAGCTATCAGACTTATTACCAGTTAGAACAACAACATAATCAGATGAACAAGCAGATGTCTCAGCAACAGCAACCTAACATAAACCAGAGAATTACGAATCACAATGCAAGTCCCATAACTGTTCAACATTCGCAGCAGCAATTTGTATATCCACCAACTCAATCTCCAAGCCCTTATCAGAACCAATACAGCCACAGTTCCTATCAAGGCTATCCCTACCAATCTGTTCCTCAGCAGAATAGAATAAACCAACCTCTTCCACAGTATCAACCACCACCCAATCCTCCAACTTCCTATCAACAACAACAGAGCATGCAGAATTATCAACAAAGACACGATAATTATCAGAGGGCACCGCAGAAGGCCGATCAACAAAATATTTTGGCACCAAATCAAACGTATCCTAATGCATTGCAAAATGGCCAGATTCAGTCGAATATGAAGTATCCTACGTACCAGCATCCCCCTGTGTCTAAACAGAGCAAACAAATGCATTTTGTGCCTACGTCAAAGGGTAACCCAACAGTGACACAATCTACGTCTCCGTTACAAAAGCCTACGGTTGGTGGCACTGCAAGAACCGCACCGTGTCATCTCTGCCGGAAGAAACAGGTGTCTGAACCTGCTATTTACTGTTCAGACTGCGACTTTTACATGTCTCGTTTCCGGCCAAAAAATTGAGGTCTCTATCATACATGTTGATAGACAACATATTAATGAATCGAAGAGTCGATTTGGTAGCATGTTCTTTCTAGGAGATGTATAGACGAACTACAATTAACGCGTAGGATAGCACTGTCTAAGCTAAACTTCTTTTTTGGTATGTTAATGATATAATAGGGGTGAAACGCGCCCTTCCATTTTTGTACAAAGTTAAGTTAGTCGTAGATTTGATGTAATGGAAGACCTTCATCGTGCAGCTACTAACTAGATGTATTCATGTACCACTGACCGTGTACTTAGCGACGTTTGTAATTTATAGTGAATCATATATGTAGAAGGAGACATGGTCTCATATATGTATCAGTCGTGTTCTTATGTAACATCATTTCGTGGTTTGTACGTTAGGCTAACGTAGCAGATATGTTTCTCAAATCTTGTATCATTTGTATTCCTCGTGATTCTGTTGTACATAGATTATTTCTATGTAGTCTTTAAGTTTCTTGTAAAAAATGTCGATGTAACTCTCTTAGGGTTAGCTTTACGAGGAAGCGTTTCTGTTTTTCACGCATACGCATGTATGAAAACGCTGCGATTGTATTTTCGTTCGGGAGACAGTTTGTCAGAATTGTGATACTAGCCATGCTACATAGAGTCTTATCGTTAAACATTTAGGAACCGTATCACGACGAAACGATACGGATAGTCGCACAAAATCGTGAGAAATAGAGGAAGCGTGGAGGGAACATGATCTCTGATGAAAGCGTGAAGTTTATATTTTATGTTGATAGGTGTTGATGTTATATATAATTATTGTGTACTTAACGGTTACGTTGTATTGTAACGGTTGTCTATGTGTACTAGATCGATGTACAAATCCACACACCCCCTTCCCTCGATTTTATACGTTTTGTATAAGTATTTTGTTTTAAAAATACTTGATTTCCTCCCGAATGACATTGAATAAAGCGCTGTCGAAATATTTCAACACGTGTTTCACAATCGGATTCATTTGACACCTGAATAGCCAGTATTAATAGAAAAATGTGACGATGGAACAGGAAAGGATATTTTAAATATTTATTTATGAAAATGGGAAAAATTTTAAAAGGAAAAATCTGCAAAGTTGAAAAAATAAACGAAGATGAGCAATTTTTTGCATTTGATATATTTTCATGTCAACTCTCAGCAATCATTTTTCACTAATATTATCAGCAACGATAACCATTTAGATCTAGTGAAGACTTTCTGGATATTCTAGATTTTTAAAAATATCTACAAAATTTTTGTTATTCTTCAAAGTCTCTAGAAAATTCCACTGATAGGAGAAGATTTTTAAAATCTTTTTGCGTTAAAACAACATTCACTTTATTGCTTATATATAGTAAAACAATGAAAAGGATACCTTTACTTTGTATTGCAAACCAACGTTAAAAAATAACATGTCATTTGAATCCATACTTTGTACAAATTCTACAAGTGCTTCACAATTAGTCCAACAAGTTGCACTTGTGTTGTCGATTCATGGAACTGTTTTGTGGGCAATTGAAGACTTCGGAGAACGCGGCCATATTCGACAGGGCTCCTACGACGCGATATTTGGCAGGACTGTGTTTGTCGAATTCTATATATTCGTCATATCCTGACTTCGTCGTGGAACACCAGTACTGTAAAGTGAAATTGTGTTAATTAGTCGCCAAACATTTATGTGGTATTTCTTGAGAGACAAAATTAAAATTCAACAATAGAGAGACGACAAAACATTGTTTTATGATATTTGGCTAAAACTTTGTTTTTAACCGACTGTTGACACTTAAAATATTCTTATGAAACAGTAAAAATTTTTATACTCGATACTTCAACGAATCTGATTCCTGATTCTATTCTCTAACTCTCATCTCTCTTTTCCATCTTCCCACTCACTATCCTATCTTTCTCTTTTTGTCTCTCTCTCCTTCCTCCATCTCTCTCTCTCTTCATTTCTCTTCTTTTCCCATCTTTTCCTCTCTTCCTCCCTCCCCTTATTACACCTTTCCCTGTCCTCTTCTTGTTCCTTTTCCCATCTTTCTCTCTCCTCTTTCCTATCCCCCCTCAACTCCTCTACTAGCTTTACTATCGCCTCCAACCGTCTCATTATTTTCTCCGTCCTCTCGGCCCATGCTTCTTTGCCTCTCTCTATCTCTACTGCATCCTTCTCTGTCACGCTGTACCTTTCCAACGTGTTTCTGCGTTCCTCCTCCTCACCCGTCTTGACCGTTATCCTCGGCTTGCTTCTTGTCGCCATCTGTCTTCTTCCTATTCAATTACCTTTTATACTTTCGTCCACCTAACCTCTTCTTTCCTAACTGTCTGTTCCACACTTTCTCCTGTCTTCTTTGTCACTTTTTTATACTTTTTATACCCCCTCTTCGTGCTTTCACCCTTTTCTTTCCTTTCTTCTTTCCCCTTTATCTTCCTTTTCCTTTTTTCCCCTCCACTTTTCACTTTTTCACAGCGCTCTCTACCCACGTGTTACCTTCGCCCGAATCCAAACCGGAAGTCCGAATCTGACTCAATTACTGTAGTAAATTTTCCATATTGGAAATTATATAATTTTTTATTCCATCAGACCAAAGCCTGTTTCTTTCGCCAACAATTTCCAATATGTATATTTTTAATAATTAAAAATCCTACAGGTGTCAATATTCGACGAATTTAATGGACGTATTATGTATAATATATACAGTAACTCACATTTGCCAAAGATAAGAAGAACAGCTTGTCGTTGGAAATATTTTCAAAACCTGGTAATTTGCTCTGAATTTTCTCCTTCTCTACTTTCTTATACGCCGAGTACGCAATTCGCACACCAATTGAATCCGCTATGTCTTCATTGTTGGTGTTAGTTCCATTTAACTAAATCCAATTATACTTTATTAGTATATAGTTTCTTTTACTCAAACGAGAATAAAAAGCAATCAGAATATTGCATGTATTTTACAGACTGTCATAGGAACAATAAAAATCTTCAAAGTAATTGCGTAATTTGCGTAGTTACGCAGTGTACGAGGTAAGTAATTTTCCACCAAACAATTCAGATTATTTTAGTTGATCAGAAGCCTTCAAAACTATGTGTTGACGAAAGAATTTACCTTAATGTCCTCCTTAGTATCATTTGAGATATGCAGGATATAGTTAGAATATTGATCGACAAAGCACTTCGCTCTTTTGTCGTATTCTTTTGACGCGTTATGAGATTTCCATGGAATTTTCTTGCCGTCTTTATTAAACTCTATTCCTAATTAAAATAATATGTAGTAGATATAGTTGTGAATATAATAATGCAATTAATTTAGATAATTTTAGGTAATTTTAATTTCTACCTGTTCTATCGAAACTATGGCCTAATTCATGTCCAAATACAAATCCGCGACCATAATTGACAGCGCTGATAATTCATATATTTATTAATAAATTAATTTAAACAGAATTTAACTTAGTTGTATAAATCGATATATAATTAATATGATTTAAATGTAATTAAATTTAAATACATTACCGCGATAAATTTAAATTACAAATAATGTGGAGCTTACTCTGGTAAATGTGGAGCGAAATAAGGATCTTGCATTTGAGTCGCTAATAGAACTAAAAAATTAATATTCAACAAGAAAATTCTAATTTCTCTTCAGTAAAGCTTAGTTCGTTAGTAAAAGGATATGAAAAATAGATATTTTATTTTTATAACACTCACTAATTGTATTGGTTTCTGGATTATAATATGCATTATATGACGTAGGATAATCCACCCAACTGAAAAATGATACAATCAAGAGTAAATACAAAATTATAAGCATTTTCCAACTAATTAAAACTCTATGGAAAAAACTCACTGGCTTTTCTTAACAACCTCCCTTAGTATTCCCAACTTTTGTGATTTCTTTTTTAACACGTTTAAGATATTTTGAAAGTAATCCGAACCGATGGAAAGCTGAGAACAATTTATAGAATAATTACATGTGTGTTATGTGCGCGCAAATAGTTTGCGTTTTCCTACAACTTTAAATATTTTCAAATAGATACCCCATCGTAATATCGAGTAACTGCATCATCGTTCTTGTACCACTCTGGATATCCAATTTCTATCCCATAATTATTTGTCTTTTGCAACATGTCCAATTTTATAGAACTTGGGAGCCAATGTGTTTGTTCTAGGTGGTTTCTTAATTCTTCCTTCATGTTTTTAACCACTTTCGTTACCTTCGAAAAATATAGTAAAATAACAATAATTTCTAGGTCTGTGGTATTCGTTATTTTTGTGTTACTCAGAGATGTAAATCAGATTTTACCTCATGAATAACGTTGTCTGGCATATATCTTTTAACGAACATGTAGGAAATTGCGGTCTTCATTTCCAAATCGTTCACACAAGTTTTCCATCTGAAAATTGACGAAATACAATATCTTTCAATCGCTAGAATCTATTCAAGTTTTTACATAAACATTTCATATATTTGCACAGCAGAATTATTAGAATATCGATTAATAAAAAGTTTGGGGCTGCTACTTTGTGAGGAAGATTAAAAAACAAAATTAGGAACTGAAAAAGATGATTAATATCATTAAATGAAGTTTTTATCTTTAATATATAATTATTTCATTTTCATTGAAGTTCCTGTTCAAATAATATTTCTCAAACAATAATTTATTTACGAAATGATACAAAATAAATAATTTGGAAACGATACAAGATAAGTGAAAAATCCGATTATTATCAATTCGGATAATTATACCATCGTTAAATTCAAATTATCAGAATTCTAAAAAGTTCGAAAACACTTCAATATTCGTTTATCCACATGATATAACATCATAGAAAAGTAAAACGATTAAAGAATATACCGAGGGGTAGTGTCGGTAAAGTTGTCTGACTTGGCAAGCCTTATGTTCCTCATCTCTTGCGTGGTATATAACATGAATTTTTTCACCATATTCCATTGAACGTAGTTTACTATAAACAAAGGAAATGTACAAAAACGTAAAAAGTGACATTTCGAGAGATCACGTGTCCAAAGGAAATCTTAAGTTATCAAGTAATTACAGTGTGATTATAAAAACGAACAACATTTTAAATTACCACGTATTCGTATAAAGTTTCTGTAGTTACCTATCGTACGTTGAGATGTGTTTCCAAGTAAGGTGGCCAGTTGGTGCAGGAATTTGGGATTGTACACTAAAATGGGTTCAGATGAGTTTACGTGAATGTTCGCTTCATTGCATATATGTTGTATTATTTCCAAAAAGTCTATCTGCAAATATTTTATACCAGATTGTTATCCGATATCATTTATTGCGGATTTTAATTGCGATTATCAATTATCAATGCTTGTAGCTGAATACAATTGCAACTGAAGAATGGTTATTAATATGCGGGAAACGAGTAGTATAGTTGAAATTAACCCCTAACGCTCCGACTTTTAATTGTGAATATCAACCGGTAACTCTAACTTATTCTCATCATACTTCGACTTGCAAGTTTTTAAGTATCAGATTTTAAAGAGTAAAGCGCCGCACATCGGTGGTGTTTGAGAGGTACACTTGGAGCGTTAAGGGTTAAAACAAAATAATAGTTACGTTATGTAAAGAAGTATGTCAGTGCAACATTGATGATTTAGAAAATGACACTTGACTTTAACACTGAATAGAGCAGAAAGGATTAGGAGGTGACGGCTTTAGAAACCTATTGTTTTTACTTACATAGGATAATAACTTATATAAAAATTACTTAATACAAAAGACTTAATACAAAAGATCACAAAAAAAATAACAATTTTACCTTCGTCGAAGATGCAGTAATATTAAAATTATTATAATACTTTTGCAATTCTTCGATCGTCATTCTTTTGTTATTATTGAAATACTCGCTGTTTAGCTGTTTAACTGTAATCTATAAAAACAGAATAGGTATATTCTTTGTTATTATTATTATTATACCTTATTCTTCTTGTACTTATTTCAAACTATAAAATTATTTATATAGCTCCTCCAAGTGAAAAAGATAATTACTTCTGTAAGTAGAAGTTCAAAGTGAACCATTTCTGTTACATCGGAAGTTAATTGATTTTCATCTAGAGTGTAACCACTTTGTCTTGCAGAAGTATTAGCTATGTATGTTATATCAGCCATGTATGCTTCGATAGGATCCCTTTTTTTGGAGGGAAGATCATTGATAACTGGATCTATCTGCAATACAAAGTTTCTTGGTAAATAGTAATTCCAAGTATTCTTATGAATTTTGATTTGGAAAGTTTTATAAATAATTTTCGTTTATAATAGTTCTTTAATTATGCAGATTTCTTCAGACATTAATTAAATCTTATCTAAAAAAGAAAAAGATATTTAATATTTAAAAGAAAACTTTAATATACGATTGAAACGCAAAATATCACATATCAACGAGTCTTTCGTATTTTCTTCAAGCTTAAGAGACTTTCTACAACTGGAAAAATGCTATTGCTTCGAAAATGATCTAAAGAATGTGCTATAAAATGCAAGTAATTATATTCATATCTTGCCATCAATATGTAGCGTTTTCTATTATTCGGATCAATGTCATATCCAACAGAATAGAAAGCTTCGCATTCCATTGATGATATATATTCCTTATCAATTTTTTGCCACGGCATTTCATCCCATTCGTTTATTGGCATCGCCATTGGCCATCCTCCAGTACGATTCAGGATCCCTTGAATTGGCTCAAAGCCTCTTTTCTCAATTTCATCTACCAGGATATTTTCAAAAAAATTTTCCTTATATTTTGAAGGCGGAAGCTACTATTTTTACTTATTTACTTTTACTTTGCTATTATATGCAATACGATACCATAATGTTCATAATTATTCGAATTTGTAGTTCAATGAATTGGTTATTCCTTGTTAAGCAATTATATTTCCCGGAGGGAATGCTCAAAAATCCTTCAGAATTCTGCTATCGTAAAAAATCCAAGCATTAGAAAAACGATTATTTATTCGAAGTTTATTTATTGATTGTTAATTAGAATTTTTTTACGCATCTTTGTTTCTTTGCAATTTTTATACCTTGAAGATATTCGAATTTTCCGAATATTTTAACTATTTCGTCGAATTTATTTATGACGAAGCAAATTTTAAAATCAACAAGGATACTATTTGTATAAATACGTTATGAATTCTTTCGAATAATTATGCACATGCTAAGGAAAATTTTCAAACGAACAGCACTGCAATTTTCCTACCTACGTTCATGCAGGAACGATAAAATTCTTTAACCATTCTAACAGGCGGGATATCGGTAGAACTGATGTGTTCCTCAAGGAGTTCTTCAAAGAGAAAATTTAAAAATATATGAATATGCGCATTATGAAACAAAGCAGTAGATTGAAACAATAGCGAAGCAATCATATTTTCTCCATCTGCTTTTTCTAACATTAAAATAAGTCGAGAAAATATTTTCTTGCCTTTGATTCGTTTTTTGGATTTGTCGAAGACAATGTTATTGTCAGACCACGTGTCCCTGCCCTCTGGTACAGGATTGTTCTTGCCCCATGAACCGCAAGCGTACTGGTAGAAGTTTTCGCAAGGATTCACGGTAGTATCTATGTTTTGCTGAATTCGCTTCGCTGTGTAATAGAAACGTAGGAAAAATAGAAACACGAACCGGAATATCGTTATCTTAAGTAGCAATCAATAAGCAAAATATAAATAAAATTTCACTATTCTCCATTATTATTCGTGTTCGAGTTTTTATTAATTACTTAATGACATTTGATTCCCAAACGTTGCAACTGTAAATTTATCACAGAATTTTATGAAACCAATAAGACGATTTTAATTAGGAGAACTTTCATTAAATTGAAAACAAAGAAAAAATGTATTTTAAATATTAGTTTTATGGAAGTGCAATAATTTAAAAGAAGAAATCGAACGAATCAACCAAAGGAATCACTCGGTCAAATTAAAGAAACAGTCAAGAAAGAAATGACCGTCAAAACACATTAACTTCCTTTAGGTATACGCCAACATACAGATGTCGTAAATAACAGAGAATTACAAGAAACCTTTGGAAAACGTGATATAAGATGATTTTTCACTCTTATAACGCTTTGCGCGTTCCTCGAGAGTATCTGCAGATTTAAAGATTTCTCGTTTTCTCTTTTCCTTGCTTTATCGTTCGATAACGTATCGACAGTAGAGAACACAGCTTGTTCACTTACATAATGTAACTCATTTACAAGAAAATTACAATTTATATAAATGTTATGTCTCGAAAGCACGAACGTACCGATCTCGTGGCAGTGCGCGGTCTCACAAATTTGTGGCTTTTGACTTTCATCCGGATCTGCTTTCGTGTCATTCATCGTATTCGCCGTTCTTCGGGTTCGAATGAACGACGACGAAGGAAGCAGTGGTATCGCAGTAACTACTGCCAAGTGACATCTGCAACAGATAAACAAGATAAACAATTTATAAACAATTCAGTATTAAATGAGTGAAAAAGGATGCCGTGACAGAGTCTAGAAAAATATGTTTTGATGCGATTGATGATTACTGTCTGTTGCATGATCCGCTGATATTACTTTGCGATGCACTCCTATAATATTACAGTTCATTGTAGTAAAATATATAAATTATAGTATCAGCAATTACAATTATCATAATTATAATATTATAGCTTCAAATTAGGTAGTTCCGACTGATGTTTCATTTCGATGAAACATAATGATGGTACCTACGACTGATATTTGCTTTTTAAATGCAGACATTTCCGAACTATATTTCTATCGTTTGACCGACAAATAAACGAAGATGATTTATTTAGCTCGTACATAGCCACATAATTTTTTTTTTTTTGTAACTGTTGTTTAAAACGCGATTTGATTTGTAATTTCGTTAGGATGATAAATGAATTGTTCGTTTATTGCGCGCTTGCTTACTTACATTAGCCACAGGAGCTGCATGGTTTTCAAGAGAGTGGAATACTAGACTGATGTATCCGTCGTGGTAACAAGCTGTCCAAAACTCGCTAAAGCAGCTGCCTTTTTCCCGCGGAAGCACCTCGTGCGCTCCTTTTGAATTCGCAGACACCAATCACTATGCTAATTTATGAATTACGTTTCAGGAAATAAGACAGACAGCTATCGTTAGATATGTGAGAAATAACTTATTTCATGATTGTCACGGATTGATATTCGGATAATAAATAGGAATGATTCAACCGAATCAAATAGTTGTACATAAAATTTTAATTTATTGGATTATTATCGTCTCGTGCGATGAATCGTTCTGTTTCATATATGTTTAAGTACCTATTAATTATGACAGAGGGCTCCTTTATCATTTGTCACAATTTAGGATTTTTTTCTAAGATGAATCCTTATAACTCTAGAGTCACCTTTTTTAAAACAGGGATTCTTTCCATTTCGTTTCAAAAATAGAGTAACTAGCTCATATAGTGCAAAGGCATAATTGAGTTAAAAATTGTTTGCATTTATTGGATTTCCACATTATTGTAAAATTCGCATAATTAACGGTATGTAAAGATATTAAATGGAAAATTAGAAATCCTGAACTAAATATATTTTATTAAAAGTAAACTTAATATTCTAGAATTATAACGTAATTAAAAGATATGTATATATTTCATGACACGAGTAAGCGTTAAAGTATTTGTTTATAATTGCAGTTACAAAAATTGATTGTACTTTTTTATGATTTGTTACTGGTCATACGTTATTCAGTAACAATTCAAAATAAAAGGTTACATTTAAGATGAAGGAGTGTATGCTGGATCGGCTAAAAACTTTTTGCCAACCTATTCTACTTGCAAGTTTTAGTAGAATAAGGATGTACTGCGGAAGTTGGCCTTTTCTTTCTATTTTACATAGAATAGAAAAACTTACATGTTTATGTTGTTAAAACAGACTGTCCCTGACATTATATCAATGACTTGTTTCTTATTCGCGATTTGCATATAATACAGAAGAAATGATATGTGCACTAGATTTTTCTTCTTAAACTTTCCCTCTGCTCAAATTTCAATTAATTGCCATACTATTTACATATTATTACCATATTTGATACACCAATGTATGTGCTACATTATTTTCAAGCATATAATTTGGAAAATGGGCTATTTTAAAAACGATTATTAGTATGAAATATTGATTAAAATATCTACTTATATACACGTGATCAATATCTTTTTATAATACGTAATTGAAATATTTTTAACTTTTAAAGACACGTAAGTGCCAAAGGCACGAAGTGGAATTGAGCCATAGGATCATATATTTTATTTAGAATAATTTCTCATCAACAATGCTGGCATTGTTGGCGGTAGTTAAATATGTAGGATGCACTACGCATGTAAAATCATATGCTCATATAGTTATATCTTTTTCCATATCAAAGTATGAGAAATTATAAGAAAATATCATTGAAGAATAGTGTCAATCATCAATCTTCTCATAATTTTTATTACTTTATTATCTGACTATTATTAATCTAAATTGGTGTTGAGATATATAATAATTGCATATAAAAAGTAGTCAAACGAAAGTTAAATACTATATAAAAGATGCAAAGTAAATTACGAAAAATATTAAACAATTAATTAATTATTATCTTTATTACAAGCCTCTTATCGTCATTTGTTATACTCAAAATTATCATCGAAAGGAAACACGCATTTTATCGACCGTGGAAGCGTGCGCGAAACCGTGTCGGTATTGTGCCGACCAATTGGGGCATCGATTTCACGTAGCTCGCGGCACGTAGTTGGCACATGTGTCGCGCCAGCTGATTGGCGCTTAGTCCTTGACGAAGTGTCAAGTTTGGCGAGTAGGTGGTGCTCGCGTGCCACCGCATTCGTAATGGCGTGCGACGGCTAGGAAAAGGGCAACAACGCGCACGAGTGTTCGAGTTTTCGTCTGTTGTAAAAACGGGAAGTGCGTTGGTGCGTGCGTGACGTGACAGTATCGTGAAAATGACAACGGCGTCGAGCATCCTGCCGTCGTATCAGCGGTTCGTGAATGGTGTGCCGGTGCCCTTGTTCTCGAGACGGTCGTTCCGCCCGCGTGAAAAGTATGTGATCTTGTTGGTGTTTTTGACGTTCGGTGTCGTGTGTTTCGGTACGTTCTTCTTTCTGCCGGATTTCCGTGCGGGCACCGGCGGCGTCGCAGTGAACAGTGTTTACCGTGTGTACCAACACATGCAAAAAGCGGGACCGGAGCTGCTAATACCGGCGCCACCTCGTCTGCAAGGGGGCCTCAAGGGGTCTATGGGTCATCCGAATGCTGTGCCACCTGGACACGAGGGCATCGATCATCAGGATGTACATCTTCTCGAGGACAAGCAAAAGCTGCAGGTCCGCGCGTGTGTCCATGCCTCGACGTTTCTTTCGCTTCTTTCGATTCTCGATTCCATTCGACTTTCGATTACCTAGCCTATTTGAAACCTAGCCGCGCTCTCTGTCTCTCGTCTGTCATCGTGTTCGCCTTGGTTATAATCGAGTGATACCTTCCTTGACATTAACTCGACGATTTTTATTGCTACGCTGTTCTTGTTTCTTAATTTTATTCCATGTGCTCCGTTCTTTCAGCTGTTACACGCTTTCCCGATTCGTTTGTTTACATGCTGCTATGACGTATCGCGGGTACACGTGAGCACGCGTAACAGAGCAAAAGTTCGCACGGTGCATGATTTCCGATATTTTCCATCGATTCATGGCTTCGTCTTTCTCCGTTATTTATTCGACCTGGTTCCCGTAATAACGGTAACTGTTAACGTGTTTTCGATCTCGAGGTATATACTCATTAACCATCATGATGCTAGGCATCGTCCATTTTACTCGATGATCGATACGTCGATACTTCGAGAATCGCAATTATTATGGAGTTTGGAGCTCCGTTTCGTTAAAGTTCCGCGTGTCGCGTTTGTGATTTCCTTTTTTGGTTCCTTTTGCGCTGTAATCTGTATCGTAACATGTGAAACGCGTGAAACGTCTTGCGTGGCCGGATATTTATGTACAGTGGAATATTGAAGTCCGAATCGATGGACTCGATCGTATTCTATCGCCCGGGATTTCTTAACCCTGCAGCGGTCTTTGAATTTTTATATCTCAGCCTTGTTCTTTGCATTACCAAACAAACAAGATTTGTAATGTTATAAATAGACGTTTAACATAAAATCAAATCGGGAAGTCATGAATGTTAATAAGATTTTTTCATACTATGTTCAAACTGAAGATATTTTCTAATGTTAGAAAAGTAATAAATTTATTCAAAATGGCCGCAAGAACGAAACAGGGCTAAGCCGAGAAACGTATGTCGCTGTTTTATGTACACTATGGTTCATAAATCATGGAACGTTTATTACGAGGTAGGCATTGTAGGCATGTTACAATTGCAAAATACAGTTGATATCTATTATCTAAAATTAAATAGAATATTACAAGGGAAATTAAATTATATTATTACAGTATAGTTTGAGTGTATGTGTGCATCGTGTGTACTAAACGGCGAGCAAATTACGCGCATTGTGAAACACGGCTGTGTGAAACGCATTGGCCGGGATTGAATTATCTAATTTTTCGTCGAGCTGCGGGTCGGTACCGCGGTCGCGAGAACGAGTTTTATCAACGTTAATAGACTCTCGCCCTAAAATTTCTGAGCACAATTTCCGACGCATCGGCGCGACCCTCGTTGAGACACTTCGCTTCTATCGCCGCGTACATATGTAACGTGACGCGTAACAAAATGGTAATGTTTGTGTCATTTATTTTTAATCCTGTTACGATCCTCCATTTCTTTGTTTCTTAATCTCATCTTCGTTTTTATTGATTAAAGGGTCTGTATCGAGTTAACAAAGCGTAAAGTTAAAACGAGATATCACGTTTATGGATAACGATTCTCTCTTATTTTCCCCAAGCTTAAGAAATTTTCTAACAGAAGCGAAAAAGAGAAAAAAGAAGGGAATACGGTTAATCTCATTTAAAACATACATGAAGATATAAGCTGTTTATTGATTATCGTACTTAAGGGCCGAATGTTGCTTCTAGTCTATTACTTTAAAACATCGCGATATACGTGTATAAAGTAACTTTAAAGTATGATAACATTAAAGCGATAGAGTAGCGTGTAAGTCAATTAATTTTAAATGTAGGAGGATAAATTGTTTTCTATTAAGAGAGTGATAATTGAATTATAATTATTAGTCTGGATATAAGAAACTACAGAATATCTATTTATTTATATCAAATGACGTAAAATGACTACTGTTTTACATTTCTTTTGCACCTCGTTTAAGATAGGAGAAACAGGCCTCTTATTAATATTAAACTGATATTAAAGTTATAGTTATTGATTTTAATATGTAGCGAAATAAAATTACAGATCACAGAAAATTAGAGAGAAGTTGAATTATATGATATACAGGATAATACAGGAACAAAGTAACATTGTCGATTCAATTGATTGAAATTATAGAAAATCGAAAGTAGAGTAACGATACAAACAACAAAAATATTCTTTAATTTACTTCTTTTCTCTTTTTTCTGTCTTCAACTAATATTTAACACGGTGCATTTTTTAAGAAAAATTGTATCATAAATAGACATGATACATTTTTTAAGCAAAATTATAGTTTAAATAGATACGATATATTATTTCAGCATAGTTGTAGCTTAAACGCGGTATAATAACTTGATATTGATATAAACTATGCTTACAACAAACTTTTGTCACAGTTTACGATACCCATGTGTACCTTTAACATTTCAAGAGCGTTCTACGGTGTTTATTTACCCGTTGGGAGTGTTACAAATCTACATGGCATATGTAGAATGTTGAAGAACGCGGTGAAAGCGATATTAAAAAAAGAAAAAACATCAAAATCGGTGCGAGAGAAAACGAAAGACATATCTCGTTTTATCGGCTAATTAAAGTTGACGAGCGTTAGATTGCAGCTTGATTTACGAGCCGATCGCGAATCGGTGCCCGTTTTTGCATTTGCCTGAAACGCCAACGCCCCTTGTTACCGTGAAATAATAGAATTTATCGGGGATTCGCGTTCAAT